AGGAGCTGCAGATTGCTCAAGAGTCCCTCAGCAGTGATCGTCTTAACACAAATAAGATTGCTTATGTGAAGTTATGCACTGATCAACTTCTTTACTGGAATGATTTGGAAAAAGATAAGCTAGAGTGGCTTAGATATGGAGAAGGTAACAATAGTTATTTCCATGCCTCCATCAAAAGTAGGCAGAACAAGAACAAAATCAGATCCTTTCAGAAGGAGGAAGGTACAACTGTGCATTCTCAAAAGGATATCGAGCAGGAAGTGTTGAGGTTCTATGGGGCGCTCATGGGTCATACTGATAATTGTTTAGAAGGTCTTGATATACCAGCTTTAAGGGATAGAGGTCAACTCAACCATATGCAAAAAGACAATCTCATCACTCCATTCACTAGAGAGGAAATTTATAAAGCGCTTAAGTACATTGATGTGAATAAATCTCCAGGGTATGATGGGTATGGATCTGGTTTTTTTAAGGACACTTGGAATATTGTGGGAAATGATGTGAATGTTGTAGTCTTTGATTTTTTTCTCTCATAACAGCTTCCATAAGAGCTTTAACTGTGCAATGGTGGCTCTCATTCCAAAATAGGCTGAAGCTAAGATGGTTAGAGACTATTGTCCCATATCTTGTTGCAGTACTGTTTACAAGATTATCTCAAAAATTATGACGAACAGACTGGGGAAGGTCATAGGAAGTATTATGGATTATAACCAGGCGGCTTTCATTCCAGGTAAACATCTTCACGATATGTTGGTGTTTGAGTTGCTGAGGGGATATGGTAGGAAGAATGGAACACCTAGATGTACGATGCAAGTTGATATTCAAAAAGCCTATGATATGGTTAATTGGATTGCGTAGGAGAAAATTATGAGAGAGTTTGGAATCCCTAATACTTTTATTGACTGGGATATGTTAATTGTCAAGAGTGTCACATACATATTTAATATTAATGGTAGTCTCACTAATATGATGCCAGCTAGAGGATGTATTAGGCAGGGGGGTCCTATATCCCCCCTGCTTTTTGTCTTGGTAATGGAATATCTATATAGACTATTAAAGCAGTTGAGAAAGAAGCCTAACTTTAACTATCATTCCAGATGTGAAAGACTACAAATCATGAATCTCTGTTTTGCAGACGGTTTGCTTTTGTTTGCTAGAGGTGATTCAGTATCCATTGCCCATATGATGGAAAAGTTCAACAAGTTTAAGAATGTGCCAGCCTAAAGCCCTTGGTGGTCTGAACATAATTGATTTAAGAATGTGGAACCCGGTGAATTTCCTAAAGCTTTTGTGGATAATGTGTAGTAAAGCTGACAACCTGTGGATCAAATGGATTCACACTTACTATGTGAAAAACAGAGATTTGCTGAACATTGAGATCAAGGAGAGCTAATCTTGGATTTTCAAGACAATTCTGAATCTAAGAATGCATTGTCAGAAAGTCTAGCAGCTGACCAAAGGAGTTTTTAGAATGAAAATTGTGTACCTTGATATGCACGATATGGAGAACAAGATGAGTTGGAGGGTTATGTTCTATCACAGCTTAGCTAGACCGCGGGCACAATTTATTTTTTGGTTAGCCTGTAACTGCAAACTGGCTACGAAGGATCGCTTCAAGAGATTTGGTATTGTAATGGATGAGTGTTGTCTCTTTTGTTTACAGAAAGAAACTCACAACCATCTTTTCTTTGAGTATGGAGATTTGCAAAGTATATGGTTGAATGTGCTAAAGTGGTTGCAAATCATTCATATTTCGGGAAACTTGCAGTCTGAGCTTCATTGGATTATGCACAAGTGTAGAGGAAAAGGTTGGAGAGCTTCGTTCCTAAAATGTGTTGTGACTGAAACCCCATACGTAGTTTGGAAACTTAGGAATGACAAGGTTTTTGGTAGTAGTGTTAGTAACAAGAAAGTTGAGGAAAGGATAATTGATATTATCACTTATATGCTCTGGGGTAACAATAAGTTTAGGAAGCATCTTGTAGCCCTAATGATGTAATTTTGGTTTTTCTTTGTGTTTGTTTTTGTGTTCTTTGGGCTGGATCGATTTAAGACTGTCTTGGTTGTAATTATTTTTAAATTAATCAAATATAATTGGTTAAAAAAAAACAAATTAATAAATTATAATATTAGTCGTGTGATAAAACTATAGTATATTAATTAATTGTTGATAAGTCAGGAAATACTTCTTCAAAATATGACTCTGATTCTGATTCTGATTGAGTCATCTCATCATATGCCTTTATGCTCGCCATCATCGTCACATTTGCTTTCTCTTTCTCAGAGTCATCTTTTGAAGAATCAAAATTTATCTCATATAGTCATCAGCCATTTCTTCTTTCTTCTGAAGACTTTCTTCTTGGGCTTGTCCTTTTTGAGCTTAAGGATATTCATTCTTGTAGTGACCTGACTCCTTGCACTCAAAGCACATGACTTCTTCTATTCAGAAGTAGATTCGAAGCGACCATCTATCCTTCTGGCTCTTATGAACTAGCCTTGTCTTTTTCTTCCAGAGTTGATTAACCTTTATGAAAAGAAGATACAATTCATCTTTTTCTTCAGAATCTTCTTCATATTCCTCTCCCTCTCCAGCTTGAAAGGCTCTAATCTTTTCAGACTTTCCTATAGATTTCAGAGCCACATATTTTTCTTTTCTTAGAGGCTCATCTTGTTCTTCTTCAGATTCCTCTTCCTCTAAGCTCTAGTCTTTTCAGACCTTCCCATAGATTTCAGAGCCACAAATTTTCCTTTTCGTTGAGGCCCATCTTCTTCAAGCTCTATCTCGTGACTTCTCAAATAACTAATCAATTCCTCAAGAGAAGTGTTGTTCAAATCCTTAAAAAATTGCAATGCAGTTATCATAGGCCTCTATTTCTTGGGTAAACTTCTGATAATCTTCTTATCATGATCTGTTGTAGAGTAACCTTTGTTCAGAACCTTCAGTCCTGGAACTAGAGTCTAAAACCTGGAGAATACGTTCTCAATTGTTTCATCATCTTTCATTTTGAAGGCTTCATACTTTTGTATTAAAGCAAGCGCCTTAGTTTCTTTCACTTAAGCATTTCCTTCATGAGTTATCCTTAATGAATCAAATATAGATTTAGCTGTGTCACTGTTTGTGATCTTCTCATACTCAATGTAAGAAATAGCATTCAGAAGAATGGTTATAACTTTGTGATAATTTATGTAGTCTTTTTTTTTTGCCCAGTCATCACTCTTCTTTCTATCTTATCACCAATATCATCAATAGAATGTTCGTAGCCATCAACTACCATATCTTATAGATCAACATCATGACCAAGAAAGAAACTTTCAATTTTATCTTTTCAATAATCAAACTTTGTTCATCAAAGACTGGAGGTTTGCCACTATAGTTATCTCTTTTATTAACAATGGGTGCAGTTAATGGAGGGATTCCTTCCATTGTGTTTCAACAAAAATCTAGATCTTTATCTGACACAGTTAAGTGTTTGATAAACAATCAATACTAGAACTGGAGCTCTGATGTCAATTGAAGGTTAAGGAAATACAAGAAAATGGGGGTTGAATTGGGTTTCTAGAATGAAACTTTTTCATGATCCAAAACAAGAAACAAAGAACTTAAAATAAAACTAATGAACACAATCTTTTTATCATGGTTCGCTGTTAACGAAGTTACCTCCAATCCACCGCCAAGTTGATTTTGTCTTCTCACAAGGACTTAATCCACTATAACCAAACTTGATTACAACCACAAAGACCTACTGTCAATGTCTTCTTGAGACTTCTGATTATACCCTAAACTTCTTGAGACTTTAGAACCGTTGCCTAGAAGCGTTCCGGAACTTGTATATTTCTTTGTAAAATGCATTTTGTATCTTAGAGTCTGAGTGTGTTGAGTTCAGAAATCGATGGTGTCACACGTCACTTCTTTAGAGTCAGAACTTGTAAGCAAAACCTACACACTAGACAACAATCATTAGGGTACAAAATTGTTCTCTAAGAAACAATATATTGTTATCATCAAAATTAAAGGCTATATACATAATCAAATCTTGTTCTTACAACTTGACGTGGCAGTGGTGGAACTATCTCATTTTTTCCGACTCTGAGAAAAGACCAAAAATAAATAAGAGAGAAAATAAGAGCTATTGTCAAAAAGAAAGAGCAAAGGTTTAGAAATCTCACTCATTTTGTTTCCTTCAGATGGTCAGACTTCTCGCCATAGTTGTCTGTTTCAATTTGTTTCTTCTTCGAATCTTTATGAGTAAGGGGTGTAGCTACAACAGTTCGACACAAATAAATAAAGTGAAACATAAAGAAAATTAAGAGGTTTCTAAGAGACGTGTATTCCACTTGCTGCAGTGGGGGATAGGTTCGAGCATGGTCAATATCAATATTGAGATGTCCTCTATAATTATGTGTATAATACTTAACCCTAGACGTTGTTAACATATCCTAATCACCACAGACAACTACACAAATGACTATTCAAATTACTTTCTTAGCAAGTACCATTTGTGTCCATCATTGGATCAAACATGGTGACTAGACGAGTATCAATTTCAACCGACAATAGTTCTGATTAGTGACCATGAAGTCATAGTAGAAATGTGTATTGCTTGTGTATTCCCAACCACTCTCTAACGAGATTTGAAGAGCTTTAATACCTAAAAAAGTTAAGCCGACTTGACTTACAAAATTCAATATTCAGAAACACAAATGCACATGACCTGCATATTTAATTATCCTGAACTATATTCATGTTATATTAATTAAGTGAACGCTAATTCTTAATCATAAAAAAATTGATTATATTATAAAACTGTATCAAATGTTAATTGTGACATATAAAATTAATTAGCAATCACTTAAATAATATAAGTTGAATTAACATTAGTAACCAATTAATTAAAGAAGCTTATTATAAAATCTCGCTTGTACGATTCTCCAACAGAATTTCGGCTCTAGATAACAGAATTTCGGCTCTAGATAACAGAATTTCGGCTCTGAACTCAAAAATGGCATCCAAATCTGGAATTAGGTAACAATTACGGTTGAAAACTCTTCGATTCTCATTCTAATCTTTGTATGGTTGATTTGATTGAGATGGTTGATCATGATTCTAATAGTTCTATTGCTTGCATCTTTGTAATCTTTGTAGGATTAATTTTAATAGATTTTGATTCTATATCTTTGTACGGTTGATTTAAAATCTTGATCTTTACACCGTTAATTTCAACATTGGTTCAATCCAATTGATTGTTTTAGATTCTTGATTTTTGCACCGTTAATTTCAACTTTGGTTCAATACATTTAGCCAAAAATTATAGAAATTGTTATCCATAGTTGATTTCGATTTCATCCAAAGAAATTGCTTGTTGATATAAATTAGGTTTAGAATATAATTGAAACTGCAATAATACAGAGTTTGGTTTAGCAATTTAGCAAAGCAGTTAATGTGGAACATTAACGGTGAGTAAGATTATGATTTCTTGTGAGTAAGATTATGATTTCTTGTGATTACTACTAATGTGGAACATTCTTCTTTCTAGTAATGTGGCCGAAGAATGGAAGAAAGGAGAAATTAATCTAGTAAAAGCGGCTATGAAGAAACTTAGGATTGCAGTACGAGGTGCAACAAAAGAAGATTGGGAGAAGGTTAGGGTTGAATCAGGAGTTAAAAGAACATCTGAAGCAATAAGAACAAAAATTGGAAAACTGTATAATAAGGAAATGGCAGAGAACAAAGCTACAAACACATCATCCAGTTCTGCCAACTCTGAAGACACATCATCCAATTCTGCCAACACTGAAGACACATCCTCCAGTTCTCTTCCAAACCTCCCACCTAAACCTGCCAACCACTCCAAATCCCTTGGCACTATAAGTCATCGTTCCACTAGAGGTAAACCGAGCTCTTCTAACAAGGTGCTTAACACCACTCCACCCACCAAAAGAGCTAACCCTGAAAATACTGAAAACAAAGAAATACTTGAAGCTATTTCAAAGTTACAAGCAGCTGTGGATAAACAAAGAGCTAACCCTGAAAATACTGAAGAAATACTTAGAGCTATTTCAAACTTACAATCAGCTGTGGAAGTACAATCCAATGCTATCATGGGAATTCAAGAAGATGTGATAAAAGTTCATAAGAAAGTTGATGAGCTCTCAAATAAAGAATCACACTTACAATCAACTGTGGGAGTACAATCAGATTATATACTGGGAGTTCAAGAAGATGTGATGATAGTTCGTAAGGAAGTTGCTAAACTCTTGAATAAAGAATCAAACTTACAATCAGCTGTGCAAGTACAATCAAATCATATAATGGGAGTTCAAGATGACATTATAATTGTTCGTAATAGAGTTGCTGAACTATCAAATGAACAATCAAAGATACTATCAGCTGTGCAAGTACAATCAAAGATACTATCAGCTGTGCAAGTGCAATCAGATGCTATAATGGGAATTAAAGAAGATATAACAATGGTTCGAAAAGAAGTTGCTGAACTCGTCGACAAAATTGCAGTTCAAAAAGGTTAAGTAGCCCTCATATAAGTTGCATTCATATACTCCACTTGAATTTCAATAAATTTTTGTTTGGTTATGTTAGAAGGAACTCAATTTCTGTATTTGACTTTTATGGAAATGATGTTGTTTTGTTTAGTTTGAAATTAAAAAAAACAGTTCATATATGATCTAAAAAAACAGTTCAATACTATATATAAAATAACAAAAACTATAAATTTTCATGATTCAACAAAGAGACTAGAATATCAAATTAATGTGTTTTCGTTTATTTGAAACTCAACATACAGATAGAATGACTTATACCATTACTGCTTCTGTTCTCATGTGTATACGCAAATTTGCTATGTTAAGAATTACCTAGTTGATATTTAGGATTATATAATAACAATAGAAAATATTAGCATTTATAAAAAAATCCAGCCATATAGAAGTCTAAATAATGTGTTGTGCCTAGACTTGAGAAACAATTGTCATCTCCTTAGGATTGAATATAACCTGAGCATCACAGGCACAATGTTTTAAACTCACAGATTTGCCCACATGCACGAACCCTGCACTATTGCTTTGCTTTGCTAGCTTCAAGGATACCTTGTGCTTAAGGATCTGGGCAGGAGGAGGAAAGGACATTGGAAAAAACTTCACCCTTCCTAAGTTAGGTCTTTAAAACATAAAAGTTAGGCCTCTAATTGGTGAATACAACTTTGCAGTCTTTGCTGCCGAGTGCCACCATTGGATCACGATTAATGTAAAACAAGTATAAAACAAGAACCCCACCCACTCCACAAGCAAATATAATAAATCAAAACTGTAAAGAACACAAACATAAAGCCTTACAATTGCCTTGTTATGTATGATGCTTCAGGCACAATTTGCATGCTTTAATATATTCTACGTCTCTTCAAAATGTGTAGGAAGGACTAACAAATGCTGCAACATTTCAATAAGATTAAATGAGACGAATGATATTAAAACAGTGTAAATGTTTCAAGAATCTATTTTATTTCATTGAAAATGAAGAGTGTACCTATCATCACAGTTGTTGATGTTCCCTCCGAAAGAATTCTAAGTAGTCAATAACTGGTAGAATGTCAAGATAGCATGATATGAATCCATGTCATAGATATTTCAAAAGCAAATACTTCACATTTTTCATCAAAAATTGCTACGGGGGTCAAAAGTTTCAAATGTCAGACAAGACTAGTCGTTAACACCCCAACTCTGCAAAACATGATTGTAGGATCATGGATGATGTGTTTTGTACTGATATTAATAATACTGTTACATTTCTATAAGATAATACTGTTACATTTCTATAAGATATGTAGCCTCCTATTCGATTTCATTCATCCCTCTACACACCTCAGTAATCCCTTGATACCTTGTTGATATTAATTCCTTAACAAATAACTTGGAAAACAAGACATAAAACATAATGAACAGTGGTGCACTTACTCAATTTTAGGAATTCTATTGAAACATGTATGACAAATTATCGAAAAAATAAGTTCTAGACAAATTATATAAGTAACTATATTGGTATAACAGACAATCAAAAAAACAACTCTCCCTTTAATTGCATTCGATCTAGACCAGTTCATTGTCTATTCCAGATTTTTTATTCAAGGTAAAACAAACAAAACTAGGAGCAATTACAAAAAATAAGGCAAAACTCTTACATAAAAAATATACATTTATAAGACCAGTGTCATAACAACATAGAAATTGAAATAATATTCATACCAATTGGATAAAAAACATTGAGGAAAAACCAAACAGGTAAGCAGACTCCAAGTAGTCAAAACACTAACCATAACCATTATTCTTGTTCATCAGACAAGATCTTTTACAACATGAAAGAATCAGACCAGATCCATTACAAAATGATATTTGAAAATGAGAGAACCAAACCGGATACATCAGAAAATGAAAGAATCAGACCAGATCCATCAGAAAATAAAAGAATCAGACCAGATCCATTACAAAATGAAAGATCAGAATACAAAAGCAAACAAAAACACTAATAGATATAGAGAAAACCAAGTGAAGAATAGAGTTGAATGAAGAGAAGGTGAAACGGTCTAAAAGAAACTAAGGTTTGCTTTCATCGGCATTCTGTCGTTCTCAGCTTTTAAATATGTTGTGTAGCTTGACTTATCAGAATAGAATTGGGCCAGTATCAACTGAAGCCCACAACATCAATATACATGGGATTTAACATGCCACTCTAGAGTGGATTAAATCCCATGTATATTGATGTTGTGGGCTTCAGTTGATACTGACCCAATTCTATTCTGATAAGTCAAGCTACACAACATATTTAAAAGCTGAGAACGACAGAATGCCGATGAAAGCAAACCTTAGTTTCTTTTAGACCGTTTCACCTTCTCTTCATTCAACTCTATTCTTCACTTGGTTTTCTCTATATCTATTAGTGTTTTTGTTTGCTTTTGTATTCTGATCTTTCATTTTGTAATGGATCTGGTCTGATTCTTTTATTTTCTGATGGATCTGGTCTGATTCTTTCATTTTCTGATGTATCCGGTTTGGTTCTCTCATTTTCAAATATCATTTTGTAATGGATCTGGATCCGGAAATTTCACAAAAATAATTGAAAATTTCGTTCTCGTTCGTCCACCCAATTTGTTTCAGAGACATATAATGGAACACAAAGTGGGACCAATAAAAAGGTGGATTAAAAAGGTTGGAATTAGAAATAAAGTGATTATCATCCTCACTTGTTCAAATACCGAAAAAGACAATAGAAAAGAAGCAACAAAATAATATTTAGTTGTGATAAAAGTGGAAAATACAATAATACATATAATGGAACACAAAGTGGGACCAATAAATGTGAATGTCCATTTCAAAATCAGATCCACTCCGACGAAAGATGGATATAAATAGAAGGTTGATGTAAAATGTGGATTTTCAATTTAAAAAAATTTAACTTAACCGAAACACATTGCTAAATACTTGTGGTTTGTGTTTCAGAAAAACCAGAATTCTTTGCAAATATTTTCCAATGTGTACCAGACAAGTTGGCTCAGGACTTTAGGAAAAAATAAAATCATAAACTTAAGAAGTTTCAATTTAAAAAATGTGAACCGAAAGAATATGGGATAAGAGGTTCGGAATGTGAATAAATTTTATGTTTCGGAAGAGTAAAAAATGAGAGTGAAAAAAAGGTTTAAAAAAAAATCTCCACTCTCATTTTTCATTTTTTCAAAACAGAAAATTTGTTTACATTTCAGAACTCTTATCCCAAGTTCTTTCGATTCACATTTTTCAAATCGAAAATCCTCAAATAAAAACAAATTTAATAATAACTTATTTATATGAAGGGCGTTTTGGTAAAAAAATTAAATGTTGGGGGTGTGGGGATAAATTTTCTCAAATTTCTCAAATATATATATATATATATATATATATATATATATATATATATATATATATATATATATATATATATATATATATATATATATATATATATATATATATATATATATATATATATATATATATATATAATATTCTATGTTGCGTGAGTGTATATTATTTGGAATACAAACTACTTTTTATATGATTACGCTGAATCAAATTTTGAGTGAATCAAGTTTTGTTTCCTCAATATTTTATATTCTCTTTATTTTTATTTAACATATTAGCGATTTATAAAAAAAAGTTGCACTAGTGTGATGAACAAAAGAATATCAAACTAAAGCAATAATAAAATCATGTAAAAATACACCCTAAATCAAATTTATGAAGAAATTAGTTATTTTGATAAAATAAGATTTAGAACTAAAATTATCGCAAACTATTCATCTTCTTAAGCTTATAATGTGGATTTCTTCCTTATTACCTCGAATTAAATTTATTACTTTATTGATAAAAGTATGTCATTTATATTAAAATTTGACCCTTATTTTGAATTAGTAATTTAAGTAGTTTGAAAGTTGAAACATAAAATGGTAGTTGCTCGTTGTTAGAAGGATTCCCCGATTGATGAATGAATATTTTAGAGTTGATCAAGATTGAGCATGTGGTAAATGAGATGATTATTTTTTATTTCAAGCCTTCTAATCTAACTAGTTTACTTGATGATGATATGAGAAGTGCTTCCTCTCCTAAGGTTGTTTATCTTTAGTTTTTTTTGTTTGTTTTTGAGCATCGGCCCTCTTCGGCACCCAAAGAAAGAGTACACTTTCAATTCAATTCTAAGCTAAATTCACTGTTTAATGTATTTTATATTTATAATATAATTTGTATTTTAATACTTCATAAATTTAATATCATATATTGTCCATCATTATACAATTAATTTTAAAGTTTTCAATAGAATTCAATATTTTTAGTAGGTTAAAGAAAGAATACATCATATATTTAAGTTAATTGAAGAAAACTTTTGGATAGCTTAGTTAGAGGTAAAATTCCAAACTAAAAAGTAATATTGTTTGGGTAAAACCCCTAGCGACATCATATATTTAAGTTAATTGAAGAAAACTTTTGGATAGCTTAGTTAGAGGTAAAATTCCAAACTAAAAAGTAATATTGTTTGGGTAAAACCCCTAGCGACGCACGTTTAATATATATATATATATATATATATATATATATATATATATATATATATATATATATATATATATATATATATATATATATATATATATATATATATATATATATATATATATATATATATATATATATATATATATATATATATATATATATATATATATATATATATATATATATATATATATATAAATGAAAATAAATTTATTTTTGAAAAATGTATTGCGAGAGGTATCCCTGGCAAATGAAAATGGCACACAAATGTCATTTTAATAGTTAGATAAAGTATAAATTTGTTAAGGAAACTAACAAAGTAACATTTGTGAGAGATATCCCGTGCTTAAGAGACAAGTATACGTCTCATCGATGACAGTGTGTAGATTGCACGTAAGAAGTATTTTTCAATGCACACAAATTACGAGGGGTTA